GTCCGATAGCGAGGTTAACTGTAGTTGAGCTCCTCGCCAAAAAAGAGCTAGCTTGAGGTCGGATGGATTCAATCCGCGCCGAAACCCACTGAGCTAGCTCCTACTTCGGTTTGAAGAGGAGCAACTCAGGTATTTGTAGAGTAGTGGGGTTTGGTCCGCCTAGTGGCCCGAGCCCATTTCTAAATCTGTGTGCTTGCGCACGCTTGTTGGTTTGCATGCCCAGTCTGAGTGTTTATCAGCTTGAGTGTGTGTGTGACCCGCAATGACACTTGGTTAATTTGAAGGCCCAAAAACGCTCATGTGGCGGGGAAGGAGGTCCGCAACACTTGAGAGGATCAAAAACACTCAAGTAGCAAGTAGGCCGGTACCGCACCAATTAGAGGTAGATGTGTCGGGTATCTAAGGCCGAGCAGAAGAAGATAAAAGTTAGCATTTTTAAAGGCCCAATGTCGGTAGATAGACAGGTATCATCCGAAGTCGCAGTGTGTGTCGTAGATGTACCCGACAGATCACTAACCTAATCAACCCCTTAACCTTCTCGGTCGAAGGGTATTACTACCGATCCTTACCATCACAGCGCTCGTCATAACAACGCGCGCGCATACTCTCGAAATTTTCTCACCGATTTGCCCCGGCCTCAATGGTCGAGGAAATCGTTTCAAAGTGTCACGAGAAAACGCGTACACTTTTAAGTTCAGACCGACTCCGTCATGGCGGCCGGTGCGATCGGTGTGTCGAATGTAACAACATGGCCAAATACCCTTGTAAGGGTATTTGATCTGACACCGTCCACTCATGACCTTCTTCCTCTCTCTTCTCAACCCTCCCCTCGTTCCCTTCCTCGTCAAGTTCTCGCCATCGTCTCTGATCGTCCTACTCGTTTTCTTCGCCCCCTCTCGTTAATCTATTCGTCTTTCGCCCACTTGTTCCGTCACTGCTTCTTGTCCCTTCCCTCGTCTATGTATCCTCTTGGTCAACGTCTTTTCATGCACCAGCTAGTATAACTATGATCGGTCGCATCCTCCCCCCCTCACTTCTTCTATTTGCCACACACTTCTTACCCAACGTTTTGGCAGCCTGATGGCGTCAACACCTATCCTCCCCTTTCACCAGTACGTCGTGACTTTTTCCCCTCCCTCTTCTCTCTTGTGCTCTATTCAAGGGAATAACTCGCCTTGTCATCTATAGAGCGACTTATGCAAGCCTGAGTATACAAGTTCATGACATCATGTCGGACTCCCCCAAATGATCGAACCTCTCCCTATTGGCGACCGAATTCATTCAGCCCACCCCGCAATGACGTAAGTTCACCCTTGCCTTATTTTTGGCTGGCCACACTTGCCCATTTTCATTGCCCTCTCTAACCCCCTCCAATTCTCATGGACCTACCCTTTCCACCAAGCACGTTCGTGCAGTTGGAGGGGACTTAACTTTCCCCAATGACGTCAGTTGTGATGTTGGTTGATTATGATATCTGCGTAGCGCCCCTCCAGCCTGCGAAGTGTCAATACCATGACTTGACTTCAATGGTCAACAACCCTTGGACCCTCCAATGGAAAAATTTTCTAGAATTAAATAATCATTCTATAGTAAAATTACCATCTAATTTCAAATTTTCATTCCATCTTAAAAAATGTCATTCCAATTTCAAAAAATTTCGTCTTGCTTGCAAACTTGCATTCCAAGAATAGAGTATCCCTTCTTATTTAGACTGCACGCTAGAGATGGAATGAAAGTCTAGATGAGTTCATGAAATATTTTAATTGGACTGTCATTCTGAGTAAGGATTTACAGTCATAAATAGGTTAATAAAATCCAAATTAGAAGATATTTGTTGTAGTAGAATAAAAATTTAATTAAAATATTTCATAAACTCGTCCAGACTTTCATTCCATGTAGTTGGAAGGGAAAGCTCATATTTAGACGGGAACTTATCAGATAAAACTGAAAAATTTAGAATTGGACGAACATTAAAATGATAATTTATAAATATGAAGGATTTTTTTTTAATGAAATATTTTTTCAACTTTCATTTCTTGCGGAAATTTTTTTGTTGTCCCACTTTCTGTTGTCCTTCCCTTTTTCACCACGTTCGCCCAGTGTCCGAACCCACCCTCCCCATTATTTAGGTTCACGCATCCTAATGGCATCACCCACCAACTGTCGGTCAATCCTTCTGCATCTCCACACCCTTGCAGGGTTTATTGCTTTGCTCTTTTGACTCCAGTGGGCCCTCGGTCCAAGCAGGTTCCAAAGGTAAACAAATGAGCGGTCTCTGAGTCATCAAGGACGTCTGACCAACCCCGAACAGACCATCCGACCTTCATCCGGGCCGCTGGGCAGTTTTTAAATTTGGACTTGAGTCTGCATTTCAACAGATCATGGATGTATCAACTGAGCTCGACTTATTGGTTTCGGGCACCTACCCATAAACAACAACTCATGGGCCTACTGGTTCAAACATGGCACCGCCGACACTTGGCCTGGGCCTCGCCACACCAGTCGGTCCGACCCTACCCACTGTTCCACGATCATGCCGGGCTCGAGCGCTATTTGAATCCAAACTCCAACGACTCACCCGGATCCTTGGCGTATTCAGTTTGAGGATGTCAAATTCTTGGGCCGCAACCCAACTACTTGCAGTCCTCACCCCGCTCGGGTTGAGACCACTTTTTCCACTGAAACTTGCCTCACCTACCGAAGAACGGTAACCCTCTTTTCCCATCGGGCCAGCTGCACATCGAACCAGTCGCCCGAAAGGTATAAATGGTAGTGTCGATGTCGGTGATAATGATCCCAAAGATGATAATAATAAGACTAGCTAAGTGCCCATGGTGCGGGCAGTACGAGCTATGCCCGCATAAATAACAAATGCAGTGGGTGGCCTCACACTGCATTAGGTTGTCTCACCTCCAAGATGTTCGTCCGCAAAAACAATGACGGCCTACCGGGGGGCACAAAACGACAGACGTGTGAAAAAAAAAAAAAAAAAAAAAAAGGGAAAAAAAACAAAAAAAGGGGGACACAAAACGACAGTTGCGAGAAATTAAAAAAGAGAAGGGAGACACAAAATGACGCCCAACCAGGAAAAACAAAACAAAAAAAAATCGCCCGCATATCAGATGGCTCGCCTCCGAGATATTCGTTCGCATCAACGTCAATCGTCTGCTCCGCCCTCGGGGCGCGCACTCTCATGTAATGGCACGCTGTGAACATTTTCGTACACGCACCCCTCTGCATACTCCCCCGCCCTTGATCGCCTTCATCCGCCACCCCTCACCAAAACTTCGACCCTAATTCGGCCCACAACACGTCATGGACCTCCCCCCCCGTCCAACGCTACTACTAGTACCTCTGCCAGTCTTGGGAAATTACAAAGTTTTGGTCTGTCCCCGAAGAAATTGGGGGTAGGACCCAGGGCCGGCGAGTCTCATAAATCGTAGTTTTCTTTTGTCCGCGCTTGAAAGGAAAAGAGAAAAAAAAAGAAGCTTCTGTACTGCAATGATGTCGGGCAGGGTAGTCTAGGAGGCCGTGCTCACAGTCTCCCTTTACATAATGCATCTTACAACAAAGACGATCATGTTCTTAAACTAGTTTTTTTTTTTTTTTTATTTCTCATTTGTTTGTTATGAGTCCCCTGCCAACGAGGCCGGGTCCGTGATCTGCTCTAGCTGTGTTTCCTCAGAGGATTGTAACCCTGATGTGTCCAACGATTTTCATGGCCAAATCCGTGTTTCCCTTTTTTTTTCTTTTTTTCTGTTTCTGGAATCTGACAATCTGAATCCGTGATCTGCTCGATTTATGTTTCCTCAGAGGATTGTAACCTTGATCACACTGACACTTGGAGGAATGTATCTAACCATTTTCACGGTCGAATCCGTTTTTTTTTTTTTTTTTTTTTTTGGAATCTGACAACATGACAACGGGGCTGAAATGCCCTCACTGAGGGCATACTCACACTACCACTTCCAAGAATGTATACAACTGCAATCATGGCCAGAGCTTTGTTTCTTTTTTTTTGTTTTCTTGTTTTGTGAGTTTTACGGCCCCAACTTCTTTTTTTTCCCTTTTGTTCTTCCCGTGAGAGTACCATAAAAAAATGGAGTGGGACCCAGGCTCGGCAAACTCGGAGTGCAGTGAAATTCAGGATCGGCAAAAAAGGCTCGGAGGTACTACCGGTAGGATAGGATTGGGTAAAATAAACGGAATAGATTAGGAACGGAAGAAATAATGGATGAAAACCACGTCGGGGGGCCAGTATTTGGGCCGTAAGTAGTCAAAGAAAAAAAGGGCCTTACTCCCAATATGGTGGTGCGGCGACCGGCATCCCGCCGACAGCCTGGGTCCCGCCGACAGCCTGGGAATCCTCCCGAACCACGCCGCCAGCCAGGTAGCCCATAATATATCACAATGTGAACAGTTACACTTGTAAGGGTATCTGTTCCGACAGCCGTGCTCAGGGAGTAGGGTGGGGCCACTGGTGAAGGGGGCCGGCTACCAGTAGTTAGCAAAGACGGAGCGTTTTTGCCAGTAGCTGCCACCTTCCGTCTATTTTCCGCAGTCCCGTAGAGCAACGGTAGTGTCTATGGTCAGCACCCACACACCACACACAACGGCCCCCCGCGGACCACCCCCCCCAGCCCCATAACACACGGACACTCACTTGTTCTGGGTGGGGCGCGTAGTGGGGGTCCAGTTTTGGTTGGCAGATGGCGGGTTGACGGCTGGGTACGGACTGTCTTCTGGGTGGGAGCCGTATTTTGAGTTTTTTGTTTGGCTAATTTAGACCGGGGTGCAAGACGGAGGCCGCTTGAACCTAAGCTGAGGCCTGCCAACTTCGTCCCCGGCAGCATCTGACCCCCCGGCCCGGGCTCTGACTGGGCTACCTCTGAGGCCCGATAGGCTTCCTTTTTCGCCGGCGTTGCCTTCACTGTCCCGGCCGTCCATGCTAACGGGCTGCGTGCCGGATCTCTTGCATAGTGGGGTTGCTGGCTGTTCGACGGCGGCTCCTGGTTGTGAGAACATCTTCACTTCATTCCTGCCGTGCGAGCAATTAGGTGATGGGTCGTTTGTTGCCCATCTCCTCCACGGCGTTTGTTTCTCTGCTAGCCACGTGCTGCTTCTCGGTATGCCGTGCTCCACACATGATGTTCGTGATCGACCCCCCCCGTCTCTTCTGTGCGAGTAGTTGGTCGGCGGGGAGTGTGCGCGGACAGGCAATTGACGTGATGTGTTTATTTTTAATTCTGTCCAACGGTCTGTCCACCGATTCATGATCGATCACCGTTAAGCGGTCGCCATGCGGCAGCTAATCGTCCGTTGATCGATAGCCGGATCATCGCTAATCAGTTGTTCGTCTTCAGATCGGTCGGAGGGTTTTGCGGTTGGCAATCGACAGCGACGACCATCAACTACCGCCCAATCTGTGTCGCCGATTCTTGCCCCGCCGCCACGTCATCATGGCCACCGCGGCGTAGCTACCGGACAAGGATAACCGTTTTCGAGGGATGAATCAATTCATCGGGAGCTATCACAGCTACTATCACGGTCGCGTTGTTCGCGCTCCGTGGCGGATGCGGCTTGGGTCTTCGGTCATCCATTGAGTTAGAGCGCAGCTCTCTGCACGAGAAGCGTCGATCTCCTCCGCTCTGCTCTGATTGTGCGAGAACCGTCGGTCTGCTCCGCTCTGCTCTGGTCTGGCTTTGGCTCGGAAGGCGCACTCGGACGAGCAGATAGTTTTCGTTGTTGTCGTCACACTAGTGCTACCGGCGGCCGGGAGTCTTCGAGATGGGGAAGACAAAGACCTCGGGTAAGGGTCGGTTAGACAAGTATTACCACCTCGCCAAGGAACAAGGTTATCGATCGAGAGCGGCGTTCAAGCTGGTGCAGCTGAATCGGAAGTACCAGTTTCTAGAGAAATCGAGGACATTGCTTGATCTGTGCGCAGCGCCAGGAGGATGGCTTCAGGTGGCGGTGAAGTACATGCCGATGTCGAGCCTGATCATCGGCGTCGATCTCTTTCCGATTAAGCCGATCAGAGGGTGTGTGACATTCACGGAGGACATCACGACGCCCAAGTGTCGCACCGTTGTGAAGAAGGAACTCAAAGGGAACTTGCTCGACGTCGTCTTGCACGATGGAGCCCCTAATGTTGGAGGAACGTGGGCCAAGGACTCCTATTCGCAGGCTGCACTCACCTTGGACTCTCTCAAACTCGCCACCGATTTCCTCGCACCCGGCGGCTTATTTATCACCAAGGTCAGTTCGATGGCCATGATGATGATGATGATTGATGATCATAATGCTCATGAAAAAGTTGATGAGGTTGCTGTCGATTGATGATGCCGATGATGATGAGGGTGCTGACGATGATGATGTCGATGATGATGAGGGTGCTGACGATGATGATGTCGATGATGATGATCATGATGAATTATATCTGGGTGCCTTCACCTGGTTGCCGCCAAACCCACTCTATCTTGCCCCTTTTTGACTGCTCCGTGCCACTCGTGCTGGGGATCACTCTCTCAATAAATCTTGCTTCCTATGCCCATCCATCCATCCATCCATCCATCCATCCATCCGTTCATCCGTCCATCTATCCATCCATCCATCACCCATCTGTACCGGGGGGTTGTGCTACCATCTTCACCCCAATAGGAACCGGGTTGTGCTACCGTCTTCACCTAAATAGGAATGCACGGTCATTATAGCCGCATTTGGCTCAACTTTCAGTCTAGATACGGGCACAATGACCGTACGTTCTATTCGGGTGAAGACGATAGCGCGAAATGACAGGATCTGACGTGGTTGATACCCGAATTGAGAGGCGCAGGACAGGGCTGAAGCAGAACGGGGAAAGGTATGAAATAATATGAGAGCGAGCAGAAGGGGGACAATATTCATGCGAGTGTGATGGTGATGATGATTGATGATTGATAGTTGATTATTGATGGTTGATTATTGATGGTTGATTATTGATGGTTGATTATTGATGGTTGATGATGATAACAAAGATGGCGATGATGATGAGCGGCTGACTCAGGAGGATGAGCGGCACCGTAGAGTAGGATGACATCAGGGCGAAGAGGAGAGCGAACGT